GGAAGGAAGGACAGCAAGAGACGACGGTGACTCAGCCATTTTACAATCAGTGAGACAAACAACTACCGTAAATACATCAGAAGTGCCGACATGTTTTCCTTTTACAGGAAAAAGAATCCAACAAAATCAAGCCATATGAAACGCATATGGTATTATGCTAAAAAATATTTATATAAACAGTGATTCATTTCCTTCGCCTTTTGTTCTGTGATTGATAAATAACTGTTCAGTGTGCATTTAATTGACATTGTGTTTTAAATCACGTAGGCAGATGGGTGTAGAAAGACGTGCAAAGCGACAGTGGGCAGCAAGCACAACCATTCAGTGAAGGTGAATTTGGGAGTGCTACATGACCCCAACACCTGTCGCTTTTCATTCTGTATCAGAAATTGCAAACACTTACAGGTTTAAAAGATATAATAAAACTGTCAAGCTGTCAAATGATAAAGTTTAGAGTTTATTTTCACCATTTATGGCAGCAGATGAATAAATGATCAGTGAATGCTGACTGTGTTAGAAAAGAAAATCTACTCAATAATACCTCTCTAAAGAGAAAAGTATGTAAAGGGAAAGCTGTTTGTAAAATAAGCTATGCAAACAGCGCCACTCAGTGGTCACTCAGCTGCTGGCAAGGTTGTAAAATTTTAGATTTAACCTGATTTATAGAGGCAAGTCTGGAGAAATCTCAGCAAGCAAAGTTGACATCTGGAAAATCATTACTTTTAACTTTAAGAATTTGACATATCACTTTGATCAAAGTAGCCATATGGGCTCAAGAGTATCTTTTGGAGCTATTTTAATGAACACAGTGTGCTGAGGTATACAGACACAAAATCTTTTAACTTTTTCTTAATAAGACTTTATTTCAGTTACGCACAAGGTGATGGTAGAGTCTTTAATCAAAGGTTATTTCCAGAATTTTTCCTTTTGTTTTTCTACCATTTCTACCAACCTTGCATATTCAAAAACTGGCATATTTTTGAAACCCTTCTTGCAGAAATAGCTCAGGCATGGTTAAATCTCATAACAAACAGTCATTTTCTCGTCTTGCCTGAGATCTTCTATCATGGTTTGGATCTGGACTTTGGTTTGGGGTTTTAAAATTCGCTTGTAATGTAAAAATTGTAAACCGTAAAATTGTTAGAATTGATAAATCATACCTGAATCTTCTCAGCTTTTTCACCATGCTTCTTTCCAACGCTCAAAGATCTTCTCATGGATTTTTACCTGACTTTGAAGAAAGGATCCCTTCAACATTTAAGCCTCTCACCACTTTCTTTCTCCGTGGGGATGATTTGTTTCCTGTAATATGGAGGTTAGTCTTCTGGCAGGCAATATTACTGGCAAGTAATGGCAAGTTAACAGGACTGTCTGAAAGGCAAGGCTTTTTAGATTACAGGACAAATTCTTTTCTTTTTGAGATATTCTTACCTGAGCTCTAAATCTTCACATCTCCTCCAAAGGCTGGCCTTTTGGCTGCTTCTTAGAATACTGCTCTCCTCATCTACCCATTTTTTGTATCTTAACATTGGTGCCATAATCTTTACTATGTTCATTCGGCTGTTTAAAGCTTGGGACCATGTTTAATATTATAACACTATGTTAAATTCAATTCAGTTTATTCATATAGTGCCAACTCACAGCACACGTCCTCTCACGTTGAAGTTCTCCATAACTTCCTCCAGAAAAACAAAAAGCAAAAAACATCTGGGGCCTCCATAGATTAAATCAAACAAAGTATGATAACATAACTTTACAATTAACCATATGAGCTGGTTTCTGATTTTAAAAAGTATGAAAATTTGCATTGTAATGTCAAAATATAAAAGGGTTAACAGTGAAATCATTAAAAGAAGCTCTGAAGAAGAGGCTGTATGTTTGTATTATGTAAATAGACTAACTTCCAGGTTTGATTCGGTCCAGATGTTTTGGACTTAATTAATTGGTAGTATGCCATATCTCGTATATGCAGAACTCTTAAAACATGAAAGTCTTTCTGATATAGTTATTGTATGCTTTAATAACTGTATTCAAAACATGTGTGAATGTATGTTCTGCACCAAAACAGCTCCTATCTGTTAAATAAGGAAAATGAGGATATGGAAAGTGTTCTGGAGTATCTGCTTCTGAAAATTATATTTCATAAACCCTTCTTTACCACCGTGCTGTAACCAAGTCATTAAAACAATTTTCATTAATTTGCAATTAAACATCTAATTCCTTTTTGTATGCTTGACTGTAAATCATAATTTTTTGTTGAATGCCACTTTAGCCATGAAATCTTCGACATCAAAACTTTCCAGATTTAAGCCCTATAGCCTTATATCTTTATCTTTTTCTGTAGCTGTCTCAAAATTAAACAAATTGTAGCTCTTCTAGTCATCTATTTATGTCTAAATGCAATTGGTTAATTCTTGCATTAAAAAAAACAACTGTGGAGAAATTGGATGTTTATTTACTAAGGTAAAAGGTTGTAATTATTATTTAAACTAGTAAATTGCATAACTTTATGTTCACAGATATGAAACTTTGTTTTAGTGTATTTAATCCCATATTTTGATTTTGCTAGTCTGCTTTCTCTGACATCATAGATCCTGTTAATGTTACTGTATAGTGAAGTGAATTCGTGTCACCGAAATTGGTCATCACATTTTTGGTCAACATATATAAATAATGGAATACAATCAAGATGGTTCACATATTTAGCATGACCTCAGACAAGAATAACTAGAATCTATTTTTGTTATTGCGATATGATGTAGGAAAACTTGACAGTTAAGTGCAACAATGAAGTTTATAGCAAATAATTTTTGCTGTTAACATTCCATCACAAATTATTTCACTTAGAATTTATGTGATAGATTAACACAAAAATGTTCTTAAAAAATTAAAAGAAAGAAAAATTACATAGATATTATTTTATGGTTTCCATTATATTGTATGCATTTGAATCCATTGCCCCTTTTAAAAGATTTAGTATTCCAAATGTTGCAATTCCAGCTACAAGCCTTTTGGGGTATGTCAATGCCAGCTTTGTACATCCATACAGACATTTTGGGCCGCTTCACTATGCAACCTAGCTCAAGTAGTCAGAAAACTACCTTGCTCTGAATTCTCAAACCGATCATCATCCAATCCCAGCTTCACAGTGGAGATGTGTTGACATGCAGTGATCGTTTTATTTCAGATTTTTGCAAGAAGGCTGTAAAACATTAATTCAGGTCTCATCTGAATAAAAAAAATTGCTATGGCTTGTGGAGAACTGCAGATTGGAATTTCCTCTGGCTTTCATCAGAACACTCTTCTATAAGGCTCAGATGTACTGAGAACAGGAATAATAGTTTTCCCATTGAAAGACTTCTACACCTGAGTCATTTATCTTTGCAGAACCTCCAGAGTTACCATGTCTCCCCTGGCTGCTTCTCTTTCTTAATGCTCGCTATGCCAGGACTGTCAGTTAAGGTGGATTTAAAAATGTTGATATGGTTTTTAGTGATCACTCTTTATATTTTAGAATGATGGGTGAACATAATCCTGGAATAAAGTCTCTTACTGCTCTATCAAAAGGTTGAAAACTTGCAATATACTTTAATAATTTACTTCTTTAGCTAAGATTTCTCCACAGCTGTATTCTAGACCTACCTCTTTTCCCTGGTCCTTTTAGGCTGTTTGCTCACTCCAGAGCACGTAGGGTTTCAGTAGCATGTATTCATATAACGATTATATTTTATACAAATGGAACATATTAACTTCTAGGGTGACTTCTAAATCCTATTGTTTAAACTAGATTATATTTAGAGGTATTAGACATAGACAGATTTTGTCATTTTGTTTACACAAGTGTAAAACAAGAAATTTCGTTTGGAACAGCTCTCAACAATTTGATCTTTTTTAAAAAGTTATTATTATAAAGAGTTAAGTTATTAGAATAAAGAGAACTGAATGCAAGTAAATGCTGCTGTTTTTATTTGTAAAACCTTTTGAAAACCACTTCAAAAATAGCTACTTTGTGTTGGTCCGAGATGAGTTGTAATAAAACAATACCTACTTGTGAAAGACAATGAGTATATAAAGGCCGATTAATTCTAACATTCAAGTGTTTCATGATGGAGGACAAATACAATCTGGTAGACATGAGATTGATTTTCGCTCCTGGAGTTAAATATATTTGAAGGAGTGACTGAAAACTAATAACTTTACATATTCTGCTTGATTTAACTGATATGCTACCGAAATCGATGGCTAACAATTTTCATTAGTTATCTGCATTTCTTAATGTCCGTTGAGCAGCTGGATGTCAAGAAGAATATTAACCTTTAAAAGACACTTGTTTCACTAGAGTTAAAATTAGAAATTAATATTTTATTGAGATTTCTTTCAACTACAGATTAAAAGCGCTGCACTTTAGATGGGGAGAAAAGAGGATTTTTAAAACCCTTCGCTCCTTTTTTCCTGACAGAATATGCTAAAAAATAAATAAATAAAACATCAGCTAAGAAAGGGAGCACTCTGCTGGTCAATAATTTATTCCTGACCCCTCTACTGAGGATCTCACAGGCTACGGTGGTGAGTACAAAGCACTTTAAAATATCTGCCACAAGTGGGACGTGCATCATGGGAAATATTGATAACTGGCAGGAGAACTGCATCACGCTGTCTTAGGCTGCCAAGGAGAAATGATGAAGAACATGTCGGTACTCGTAGGCAAATAAAACCCCAAATGGCATCTTTATACACCTGGGACCATGTTTGGTGACGTGAAGTTTCACAAGTTCCTTTTTTTTCTGAGGCTATAGTCAGCTACTGTCAATCAGTTATTGCTGCAGCAAAAACAGCAATATAGTGTTTTTTATTTATTTATCGACAGGCTCCAACATCAATAAATAATGAGGATGGAGAGCAGTCGTGACTAGCTCTGCTCACATCTAGGAACTCACATCTCTCAGCTTCATAAACAGGCACACTTCTCTCTGCAATAAAATAAAAAAGTGCACATTGAGCAAGGTTTGATTTTTGATTTATTGGATTAAAATAAGACGAGGCAAAGTAGAAAAACAGACAATGTTGCTTCTTTGATATTTACACTGTTCATCAACTGAAATGCCTTCCATCAAATGTCTGAGTGGCTCAGAGTCGTAAGGTAATGAGAAATGCCAGACAAATTACAATGCTTTCTCACAAATGGGCTGCGTTTGACTAAAGACGCCCACGCTAACGCACTTTATTCCATACAACATGCTCAAGGTCAAATCCAGCTCTTTCTCGCTCTGTCATAAAAGCATATGCATGAGGTAAAGAAAAGAGCAGCGTGTTCCTCCTGCACAGGTAGATTAGGAGCAGAGAACTCCATTATGAAAACTAAAACTCAGGTGGGCATTCATTTGCCTCTATTTAAACGAAACATATTACCAAAAACTGAAAAATGAGCTATGAGTATGTTTGATCTTCTGGGTCATGAAGACGGATTAAACCTAGCTGCTAAATCCTGCTAATGAGGACAAATAACTCTTCTGGCTTACAGCTTCACTTGGTGTTAGTCTGGACAGACCCTCCCTCCCCTCGACCTTCTCTTCTCTATACAGGCAGGCATGAGATGAATCAAAGACAGCAGCAGTTACGAAGTGTCATTCCTTTTGACATCCACAGAGGGCGCCCTGACTCTGCTCACAGGTCCTGGTAGGGTGGGCTGGCTCCGTGCTTTGTTTCTGCAGCCAGGCAGAGGGATAGCATTAACACTTGAAATACTGACAGTACCTACCTCAGACAGATTAGTAATAGTATTAGACCATATGGATGCTATGGTGCACATCAACAGAGCAGCATGTGAAGTGAAATTTAACTGCCTTTTAAAGTCTGAAAAAGTAAGACAAAATAAAGAAACGACATGAAGGTCAAGGTTAAAACCTTCAAGTTATGCTTCTGCAGCATGCGTTTTGCTGCCACTAGGTGTCAGTGTGGCGACATGCCATTATCGACATCAGATTTACTCCCAACACAATCCTGTCACCATTTTTATCATCCATATGATCCTCTTTCCTCCCTGTCAGTCATTATCTTATCCCCAGCTCTGCTCACCTGGGTCTGTCTCCGAGCGGACCGTGCTGGTTGGTTTTCAGGGTGGTTGGGTGTCCACGCTCCCAAGCTTTGATTGGAATAGAAGTCCATCGGATATACTTCCTTCCAGTCTACTTCCTTTAAAGCAACAGATGCCTGGAGATAAACAGAAAGATGTACAAAACTAAAAATTCTTGAATAATCACTTTGACAGGTCTCCTTCTCTAATCTACTACAATACTTGCAATCTTGCAAGAAGGCTTTCCAGAGAACTGTAAAGTGATGAGCAGACATAACAGACTGAGCATTCACACAGGACAGGTATCATAATGTTAAGCTTGGATAACACGCAGAGTTGTCATTTTACCCCTATGCAAATGAACAGTGTGACATAACATCTGTTAGGTGAAAACAACCACAGCAGCAAGACTGCAACATGACACACTATAAGTGCATACCGCTCCATATGGACGAGGTGACAATGAATATTGATTATGAATGCCAGAAAGAGCAGCTAAAAGGCTGAAAACGTGTATAAACCTGCACCAGTCTGCAAAAATAGGTTTTGTTATTGTTTTTTTTCTAATTTTATGGTAGAGCCATGGTAAAGTATTTCCACCAAAGAAAACAAACAAAAAAACATTGATGTATTTATCCAGATTTTTTTTGTGAGGGACCCAAATCACAAAGTAAAACTGAAGCAAAATGCATGATTTTAAAAAGTTTTTACTAATATAAAATTTTAGAATAAAAAAAAGGCTTATAGTACATTAGCACTCAGCTCTAAGTCTATGCTTTCTAAAAAAGTCACTAGGATTAAAGCTTACGCTCTTAAAGGTTTACCAGTTTTTCATATGTAGACAGAACATTTTGCTGGTTCTTCTTTCTAAAGACCCAAACAAAGGCAAACTAGATGAAAGCAAGATACGTATATTTTTGCAACATCTCCCCAATCTGATCCAAGACTTGGTTAATCAGAAATTCAGAATCTCTGTTTATGATGTGTGCATACATGTGCCAAGCATATAATTTAAACATGTGTAGAACTGTTTGATTTTCTGGAAAAACAGCAGAAAAACGTGTCACTGATTTTGTACACGTGCATTGGAGATTATTTCACTCCAAAGATCTGAATGAGTGATGATGAAAGGCATTGTATATTTGTGTTCTCCCAAACAATCATTTTCCATGTAGGGTAAAAATCACCTTAGTCTATAAGGCATCTATAAGGCTTGGGGCAAACAGGCTTTATAGAGTATATTTAAAATAGATGTTTAACAAGCAAATGAAACTTGGCTCCCACTAACTCTTCCAGGGCTCTTATAGGCATCTTAGCTGCTTCACTGATTCATTTTCTCCAAAGCCAACATGTAAAGTTTGGGTGGATGATCGTCCGTTAGTACATTATCAGTTCTACCATACAGTACTCTGCACCTCTGGAGGAGAGATGGATCATCAATCCAAGACATATTATTTAATAACCTAACCATGCTTTAAACTTCTTCACAACAATATCTCTCTGTTACTTTTGTTGGTTTAGTTCCGAAGGCAAATTAGAATTGAATAGAATTCAACTTTATTGTTATTTCACTGTCACAAGTACAAAGAAAAACGAAATGAAGTTTGCATCTATCCAGAAGTGCTACGCAGGATATAAATATCTATTTACATGTGCACAGGGACTATATATGTATTGACTATAAATAGTATATATAAACAAAGAGTATTTGCAAGAGGCGATAAAATAAATAAATATGAAAAACTATATAAATTATACAGCAAAGTTAGGATATGGATTACATATAAATTAGTGGGGTTATAATACAGGATAAATGATGACAGATGATAGCAGATGAAAGATTTACAGATTATATAGAGCTATATTTAATCTATAATGGATATAATCAAAATAAAAATAAAAAACTACACAATGTTTTCATTTAAACCTGCAATTACAGGCCATCAAATAGGAAGATAAAGATAAGCAGGTACAATTGTTTTATTTAATTTTTTTTTTTGATAATTTGGCCTGATGATAATTTATGTTCTGGGATATTTTTTCAAAAGTGATGGAGAGCTCATAAAAAGGTATAAACCATAAACTATACTATAGCATTTTTTCCTCCTTCACCTTTCCTCTGCCTCTTTAACATTAGCTCCTCATTTACAGCCAGTTCTCTTCCCTCTTTTACACCAACATCTTCCTCCCTGTGGAAGCTAACTTCCCTCACTAATCCCTGCTCTGACAGGAGAGCCAAGTGTGTCTTATTGACTATAAATATAACATGAGACGCTGTGGAAATAAAGGCTGTGTACCCCCACCCCCCTCTTCACCATGCTCAGTGCACCCTCCCCATCTAATTCCTCTTCATCTTTCTCCTAAATGCCACAGCATAAAGCACAGCTCCCTGAGACACATGATGCTCATAGGTGTAAGATGAGGCCGAATTAAGTGCTATCGCTATCGTATAGATATGAGTGCAGCTACAAATTATTTTAAAGCACAGACATTTCCTTTTTTCCCTACTTCAAATAGCTGGAGGAGAGAGCGACCCTCGGAAGAACAGATTTCAGAATTTCCTGGGCACAATTGTAGAGGACAAAAAACAACAACTATCTTTTTAATGCAAATGCTGTTCTCATTCTAGATGGCTTTGCTCTCCAGTATAAGTGCTTCAATGAGATGCATAGTTAGAATTAAACAGAATAAATTTCCAATCAAAATCCACTATTCAAGAAAGTAATTCCCTCTACAATCATTTCCTAAGGATAAGGGAAATCCTTCAACAAAGACTTAACTTTATGCTAAACATTGCCAAAAAAACATGAATTTTTCCATTTGTTTATTTGATAGTCGCAGCAGTGCAAACAACCCTCTTCCTCTGATGTCCAATCGTTCTTACTTCTTCTGAAAAACAAGACAGCTGCATGAGGGGCGGGACAGTGTAGCCGTAGGCCCTGTAGGGGGGGCTAGTCTTCTGCTCTTAATGTTTTACGTGTGTGTAATGCTGTGCTTTATGGTGCGGCTTGAGTGAGCATGGCACTCCATCTTGAGCATAAACAGGCCTTGTTGAGAGGCACATAAATTCACTGCCCTTTCAGACACGACACTGTAACTTGTCTCCTGTACTTTCATAAAAGCTTCAAGATGTCATCTTTGAAACGCTCTGTGCACTTTTGGAAAGGACTGAGTTATTTTTTTGGAAAAACTGGTGCTTGCAGATGAGAGTTTACCTCGTATGGAGACAGCAGGGGTTTGGAGAACGCTGTTCCCCAGTCGATGGAGAGGCGTGGGCAGGCGATCTGGACCCACCTGTAGAAATAAACAAAAGACAATCTGGGCTGTAGTGTGCATTTTTGAGTGCAATTGGGGAAGTGTGAAGCTCCGATGAATTCTAGGACAGAAAGTTATTAGAAAGGCAGGGCACATCAGCGACTGCACATTGCCCATGGATGTGCATTGGGTTGCCGTCCCACACCTGATCACCTGCATCTGTTATCAAGATCTGCAATGATTTGTACCACTTTATAAGAGAGTTAGTGTGAACTGAGTAAATATTGAGCCAGAGTGAAAGCAGGGCCGACTAGTTAAGGAGACATTGCAGTGGTCTAGTTGGGTGGACTGACTGCGGGAGGCATCAACATAAAAACAAGAAAAGGATACCAGGGGTGAATAGAGAGAAGGGAAAAAATGCTGCGAAAGAAAAGAGGGAGAGGTTAGGTGAGTGTGAATAAAAAAGCTGCAAGAGCTGGTCTCCACGGAGGTAGCCTACATAGCTCGCAGACAGGGTGGTGGGGCTGTGTTTTAAGAGATGGGGAAGGGGTGGGCAAAAAAAAATACAGAGAGACAGAGTGAGGGAGAAGGAAAGAGTTACGCAGTGATAGGAAGAAAGCCGAAAACAGGAGGAGGGGTCGAAGAGGCAACGACGAGAAGAGAAGACAGAACAGAAGCAAAAAGGGAGGGAGAAGATTGGCAGGGAGGAAAGTGTTTACTCTGGTAAATGCATGAGAGGAATGAGAAGAGTGTGGATGTAAACAGCTGCAGGGAGGACTGAACAATGGGAAAATGATGACGGAAAAACAGCTGGAGGTACAAGGGTTAGGTTTCACAGATCAATGCTATCCACAGCTCCATCTCTACCGAGGCAGCATGTCTTACTTTGTCCCTAATCCTTATAGAGCCTAGCAGGAGATATTGACAAAGATGGATTTACCTACCGTGCATAAAAATAAGAACACTACATGTAGGTTAATGTTGACATCAACATATCAAGCTGAAAAATGTGAGAAAATTAGTCAAAGTAAAACTGGGGGAAAAAAGCCATTTGCTCAAGTGAGCCTTACTGCAGTAAATCCCCCTTTTGTTCATTCCCTATTTTCCAACTTTCACACAGTGTGTTCAGCTGCAGAAAAGACTGCACCACTGACTCTCACTCAGCTCTGCTTTATGTCTCAGAAACATTCCACACCTCCAGGGCGAATTGTCTCATTTTTTTTCATTTTCAAATTATGTAAAATATTTTCTTATGTTTCCCCCAAAACAGTGATTTATTATTTAGCTTTCTAACTTGCAGTTAAAGGAGTCAAATACTTCAGCACAAAGCACCATCCTTGGAAGACCAGGGTTTAGGAAAAGAGTGGAATATAAAACATGACCATATAAACAATGACAAACATATAGTTCCTTGAAAGGCACTTATAAAAAATATTTCACTTTTTCACAGTGCATATGAAAATCTAAAGACGATGTAACATTGGTACATTTTACCAGGACTTTATGTGAAAGGCGTACAGACCAGCGGATAAAATCTATAGTAGGTGGAAGATGACACATTACTTGTTTTTAATATAAATAATATTTAAGTTCAACATCTCTCTTAAACTGGACAGTAATGCGAAAAGCAAAATAACACCTATTTCTGTCTTAATGACATATTGGTCTTGAATACTCCACAATTCAGTTTGATCCAATAAAACAGCAAATGGCTGATAGTTTTTTGCACATCCTAAAGTCAGCCACAATTTTCAACAGCATTGCACACATGGAAGATGTGATCGCTTTGTGAAGAAGATACATGAACAGAAGGAGTAGTTTGTTTCTATCTGCAGTGGTGTTTAAGGCACATGTGGCTTGTTATGTTCCATAATTTTGCATGAACGAGCTACTGATTTTTATCCAGATGTTTCTATTCTCTTGCTCTTCTATATTGTTACAGTTTTGTTACCTTTTTTGTCATTATTTACAGTGTTAGGTCTCCATAATCTGATTCTCTGCCCTGACCAGAGACTATTTCTCCTCTGTTACTTTGTTCTGCAGGGCGCCTCTAAGCACACTGGTAACCCAGAAAAAATGCACAGTCGTTAAAGCTTGGGGCCTTACTGGTTTCCCATGGCGATCTCATCAAATGTTTTCAAACAGAAATAGCCTTTCTGCATAAGTAGCCATGTGCATAATTCAAGCACGAAGCTTACTGGCTGACAGGTTTAATAAAAGAAGCAGCACATCCAAATAAAGTCCATATATGCAGATACAGGACGGCTATGTTGTCTGCTCAAAACAAACACAGAATTTTCCATTTTAAAATCCACAAAGCCGTTATTTAGAGTACTGAGAACTGGTTACTTGATGTCTTCAACTTGCACATTCTGCAATAAAGTGAATATCGATTTTTCTCTGTTTTCCCTACAAGGACTTTTTCTACTTTACTCAATGTGCATCACAAAACCCACCCATTGCTCTAAGAACAGGAAGTCTTTCAAGGTTTATGTCCAGAGACAACATTATTATATTATATATCTATTCTAATATATATATAAATGAGTTTGAATCCAGTGAAATTAGATACAGATCATCTGGTTTCCTCAAGGTTTTCTCTCCCATTCTGCATCAAACATACCTTTTTCTTTGCAAATTAAACCTATCCCTGCCATCCCCAAGTCTTCCTTGGTTCCAGGATTTTTTATAAGCGTAGCAGGGTTGCTGCACACATATACTTTTTTTTATTTTGTGTGCTTTTTTTTGCTAATTAAGCCTATTCCTATTTCTTTCTATCTTTCCTCCATGTTGGGAAGCTGCGCTCATATGGTGGGATAGTAATGCACATGTTCACTGCCTGCAAAAGCAATCAGGGGGAATCTGTGTTGATGGCATTTTCAGAAGGATTTTCTCACATCTATTTGCAAATAAGGAGTTAAAAGTGTTTATAAAAAAAGCTCTTGCAGCCCTTGCAGTCATTAAAATTCTGTTCATCGGGTTGATTTAAAGCGTAATTCTGACAACTTCCAGCATAACCAGGGGTTGTGCTGGAACGCACTGGACAGTCAGAGGGAGGGAGTATGCCAATCATAGAGCTTGAGCAGTAAGAAAATCTTGATAGGTTTCCAAAGCAGCAAGATAATGAGATTGCCTGTAGAACAGATTCTAGGTACTGCAGTTATGTTCTCTTGCTTGTATGCAATAGTTTCATTTTCAGAGTTTTCATCCTGGCCACATAAGGCTTTAATATGCACACAACAAGTAGATATTAAGTTGAAACTCTACTCTCTTGTGACACTATTACAATCTTTGGAAAGTGTTTTTGGGTTAACTTTGATCCAGGAATAATTTGTAGGTTTTGTTGCTAAATATGACATTTTTCAGATTCTAAATGCTATATATTGCTTAACAGTTGGTTTGATGCGTCCCTTTTAAGATTATTTTGCTGAATGCAGAAAGGTAAATTCTTGATAGGCTTCCAAAGCAGCAAGATAACGGGAATGCCTGTAGAACAGATTCTAGGTACTGCAGTTATGTTCTCTTGCTCTTTGGGAAGAAGAAGGGTGATGACGAACAGCTACATTACTGCATGACTGCATTGCTACTCCGACTTAAGAGCAACATTTTTACCTATCTGTCTCATCTTTCATTTGGATGAGAACACAAGTATAGGTATGTCACAACATTTACACCTTCCTGGTAGACAAGTAGACTGATAGAATGGCAAAGCAATGGATTGCTTTCGGGACCTAGAACAGAAGAGGAGCACCTTTAATGGCAGCAAGGCCTCGGATATCACCTCCCCTCTGGACGGGCAAAACCGAAATTTCATCCATGCTGCCAGGCTGGGAGACAAATAAAGCAACTATTGAACAACCAAAATTTTATAAATTAATATGCTTTAATACAAAAAACAGAAATGCTTTCGAATCACACAAACATATTCCAAGTCAAGTACATTAATCCCAAATTTACTTTAATGATAAAACAATGCAGCAATCTTCAGCTTATTGGTCAAATCTGCTAACATTTTTTGCAGGTAGCACCAAGTCACTAACTTGCAACATTCACTTGTCCTGAATAGTGTACTTTAACTTGTATTGTGCTGCTGCATTCAGAGCAATCCCTCATACTGAGCATGGCTTTAGTAGAAAAAGAAATAAAAATTTCACTTTAATGGAGAGAAACCTCCAGCAGAACCAGGCTCGGTGTGAGCTACCACCACCAGTGTTGGGAGTAACGGCATTGCTTGTAACTGCTTTCGTTTTTTCCCTTGTAAAATTAATCTAACTAATTAATCTAACACATCGTTAATGGGGTTGTGTTACTTGCAATCTAATGCAGAATGCTAAAAAACTCCATCAATCAAAGCAACTTTTAACAGGCACTCTCTCTTCTGCAGGGAGACTTTTACTGAAGGGACGAGTAGGGGACTGTAAATGGCATGCCTGATGCTGATTGGCTGAGAAGCTGTGATTTGGGTGGTTGCTTAGCATGTTTTGAACACAGATAGTGGAGATGATGGCACAGATCACTGATTCAATAACAGTGTCAGTAAAAAAAAAAAGCTAAACTAGCCTTTAGTTTACCCAGGCTTGGTGCGGCATGTGCTGTGAAGCGGGCGTTGTACTGGTCCGTTTTGGTGAGGAGAGAGCTGAGCCAAAAGGCAAAGCTCTCAATTTACCGATCAATCTGCGTTCCTATCCTCGTCTCGTACCCACGTCGAGAGGAACCAGTTGAGGTGGCTCAGGTATCTGGTACTCTATTAGGCCTCTCTATTGAGGAGTTCTGGCAGGTCCCACCATGAGGAGACCCAGAACACGCTGGAGGGACTATGTTTCTTGGCTGACCTGGGAATGCCTTGGGATTCCCCCGGAGGTGCTGGCCCAAGTGGCTGGGGAGAGGGAGGTATGGGCCTCCCTACTAAAGCTGCTACCTCCGCGACCCCAGATAAGTAGAAGAGAAGGGATGGATGGATGTTAAACCAATTAATAAATAAATATCACTTTTTGAATTTCATAAATAGGGTTGTTGTGATACAACATTGCTGAAGAATC